CCCCAAAACCCCAAAACCCCAAAACCCCAAGAAATGAGCCACGTTGAAATTAAAAATAAGTATATTAACCTGAATGTCTCTTTGAGTTGAGAATTAGTTCATATAGAGCAGCCTTCCTGGTAGGGTCCATCATTCCTGATCTAAACTCCTTTCGGATACTTTCAGCCTGATGCCGCTCACCGATAATGAAGTTCTTCATAAGGTAGAATAATCTTCGAATAGATTCTGATTGGGTCCCTTCAAGTTTTTGGATTATTTCCATTGTTTGCTGGAATTTATCCTTCCTCATTTCCTCAATGAAGAGGTCGAAGAGGTTCTTTTGGAGGACATCACTGCAATCATTATCTTTCTCGTTGTCTCAATCAAGGACAATTTTGTTTGCAGTGCTTGAGTGCCTTGAGTTTAGCTTTTTAAATTTAATACGCTGTATTCTGTCTGTATCAATTAGATGAAAAGAATACCTTTCTCAATACAACTAGAAGCTCTGTAGCTGTTATCAGCTCTATTTCCGCCTTGATGAACCTTTACTCTTCTTTAGAAGATAAGTCAGATTATGGGATTTAGCTTTCTGATAAATATTATAGCCAGTCAACCAATTCTGAGCAGTCAGCGGAGTAGATGTCTTAGATTTTGAAGGAAAAGAGGGGAGATTCTTACTATCTGTATTTATAGCCAAGTTCTTCTTTTCTCTTCTCCAACTCAATGGTTTTGAAATTGAATCCTGATATTTCTGATGTAAGGTATTTCTCAAATTATAACTTATACTTGCGCTACGATTATGCATCCTCCTTCAAAAATTTAGATCTTCATTTTGGGTTGGTAAGAACCTTACTTTATTTCCCTTCCTTCTCCTTTACTGTAGTGGATGTCTTATGGGGCTGAGGCTTGAAACTTGGTCTAATATTCGATAGATTCCCCCAGAAATCCTTCCTCTTTTTCTTCATTGGTACCGAATCTGGTACAAAAGAATACTCATCATAATCTTCATGGGCAGGAGTTGGTGGCTTCAAATCCTTATTGAAAATTTTCTCCTTACTGATTTTTCTTTCTCTAGACTTCTTTCTAGTCTTTTCGTTCTTATCAGGAAGGGAACTAGACCTACCTTTGGAGTTCTTCATCTTCTTCTTAATCAGTTTGATAACTTCTTCAACGGTTTGTTTCTCTTTAATCTCTCTCTGAGTTTCCTTATTTGTTGTTTGTCCCAGTTAAGTCATTCAACTTATTTAAAAGTATAAAAAGCTTTATTATCGTTACACATCTGAAGGATTCTATTCTTTCTTACAAAATTAGGATCTTTAAGAAAAGTCATCCGCTTCTTTTGCTTAGATCCCTTTTTGGCTTCTAAATTGACTTTGGGGTTTCCTAATATTTCTGTTATAAAGGAAGACCTATTTTCATCACCATAAGAAGGGTTTAACTTGTATTTAGAATACAGCATTTCATACATAGATGCTTCAAATGGGTCTTTTGGGATCTTTACATTAAACTCATTTTGGATAGTAGCTTCCTCTATATTCCTTTCTTTCAACTCTTTTAAGTATATATTATCAAGAACTTCATTATATTTCTGCAACTCTGGAGACAAAACCTTAGCTAACTCATTCCTATTCTCAGGAATAACCACTGCAGAATGCCTCTTATTGCTCCTAAATCTAACTCATTTATCACCCAAAATCCCCTCAAAACCCACCCTCAAGTCCCAAAAACTCCACTTCCCCCCCCCAATTTTCCTCCTAAATTCCCCCTCCCCCTCTACTCTACCCTCCCCAACCCTCCCCAAAATCCCTTTACAAATCCCTATTAATCACACCTTTTAGCCATTGACTCAGTTAAAATATTTTATTATTCAATAATTATTGAATATTTTGGGGTTTTGGGGTTTTGGGGTTTTGGGG